TGCTGCTGCTGCATGTGGCAGGGAGCAGCAGCAACAATTTTTACCCTCCTTCTCCTGCACCGCTGCTGCTGTTGTTGTTAAGTGGAAATACTTGTTGCACAAATGCAATGCATGCTGTTGTTGCCTGTATCTGCCTGCTTTCCTGCCTGCCTGCCCGGCTGCTGCTGTGTAGCTGCATCTGTTGCTCGCGTACAGTGGATATTGCCTAAGAGCATCCGATCTGTGCTTTCGAGATCTTTTGGCAGGAGATTGTATTTTATCAAGTTGCATATTGAATGGAGTTGTTGTACGGCAAGACTTCGACGATAATTCTTCTTGGGGAAACTTTAATGATAAAGCCCATAAATTTTGCCTCAGTGACAATCTCAAAGATACTATAGAAGCAATAATTCATAAAAGTTTTCAATGAAGTTTGGATATAAGCTTTGATTTATTATCGGGTATTCCAGTCAGATATCGGGGTTTCTTTTTTTAGACTGGAATACATTTTTTTTTATTTAAAAAATTTAATTTTTTTAATTTTAAAATTTAATTTTGGTTAACTTTAAAATTTTTTTATTTTATTTTAACAATTAATATTTTTAAAGTTTTTTAAAATTTAATTTAATAATTTTTAAAACTTTATTTTTTTAATTTTTAAAATTTTTTCAGTTTTTAAAATTAAATTGATCTTATCTGTGGGATATTTTCCAGAGAATTAGATCTGAATTTTCGAGTTTCAAAATTTATAATATCCACAAATTGTTGTTTAGAATTAATTAATTGAGGAGAACCCAAAATGGCTATGAAATGTTTGGATAATTTTCTGCTTAAGTTAGTTATTAAAAAAAACTGAATGAAAATATTTTGAGTGATTTTTATCTGTGGCATATTATCCCGAGAAATAGATTTGAAAATATCCACTAATAAATGTATAGATTTAATGACTTAGAGAGAACCCAAATGGCTATAAAATATTTAGTTAATTTTCAGCTTAAATTAAAAACTAAAAAAAATAAAAAAATAAATATTCTAAGAGCTGTTTTAATTGGTTTACATTTTCAATCTATAATTTCTGTTTAAATGAATAAAAATCCAACTAAATTTCATTGCCAGACTGTGAACCGTGTGTGTGTCTCTCCTTTGCCAATTATCACTGTAAGTGCCACAGCAAACGGCAATTGCATCTGCATTCTTTCCACTTTTCTTGCTGTAGTTGCAGTTGTTGCTGTTGTTGTTGTTGTTGTTGTTGCTTTTGCAGTTGTTGCTGTTGCTGCTGCTGCTGCATTGCCTTGTGCAATTTATTAAATGAAAAATGCCGTTTTGCAGCTTTCCAAGTTGCGATACAACATACAGACACATACAGATGTACACAGATACATAGCGGCAGCAGGCCCCTGTACGAGGAGACCGTGGATATATATGCATAGCATACTATATCCAGATACTATTCGTATGTGCACATGTGCTCTCTGTGGCAGTGGCTGTGGCTGTGGCTGAGCCAAATTGAATTTTATGCAAATTTGTTGCTCGTTTTTAGTCGCGATAGAAATCGCCACATCTAATGCATAATGGCTGGCACACGCACACGCACACGCACACGCACACGCATGCCTCTTTGGATGATTTTGCATTCTTTATGCAATTTATCGATCGTTCGCTCTGAAAGCCACAAAATTATTTTCGAATGCTTCAATCTGTTTGAGAGTGCGGCGGATCATGCCATGTGGTTTCTTCTTCTTCTGTTTTTGCGATCTTTGTAGAAGTTATGCCGAAGATAATTCCGATCATAAATCATATCTTTAAAGCGGGTATTTTCAGATACAGCCCCCCGCCGGTGGCGCCACTCTGTCCCGACTTGTGGCCGCTTTCGCCTAGGCCTTTTTGGCGGCGATTTGTGTTTATGTAAAACAAACGAGTTCGAATTCGAGTTCGAATTCGAGTTCGAGCCACTATCCCAACTGGTAGCCGCCGACAGATTTTGTTTCTTTTTTTCCATCTATTTTTTTTGTCGTATGACTTATGAATAGATCGAGAAACTGTCACCAAACACGTTTCTGTCTGAGCCCCGCCACAAACAAAAATATTCCACTGTGTTGCCGCCTTGTTATGGGCTAAACAATTGGCCAAAAAACTGCCAAAAAAAAAAACAATACACATTCATAAGAAAATAAAGAAGACGACGACCAAAAAAATATTAAAAAAAAAAAAAACATCCCCCGCTAAAATACTGTACAAACAAGTAAAACATTTATTAAGCAAAAATATTTGGGAATTTTTGAATTTGGTAATCTATTAGGAGGAGTCTTCCAGGAAATAGCAAAAGGGAAAGGGTCCACCCTTGAGGAATACCCTTGTTCCTTTGGAATCCAGAATATCATTACAGATCGATCTTTCCTATCCTTTTCTAATGGATCCCGATAAAACAGCCTTTTTTTGTACATTACAAAAATCAACTGAAAATCATTCAATTTAAAAGCAAACAAAAATCACAGATACATATGGTATCTCTGGTATTTTTTAAGTGCAGTTACAATACCTAAATTAATTAATTAATTTCCGGTAAACGTTGCACAAACATTAGAAAATATCACGCAAATGTAGACCGCAGTCGATGGCATTTCAAGGGTATCCCCCATTCGACCTTGCAGATGAGCATTGGAATAGATATTTTTTTTGTTTTTTTTTTTTTTGTGTGTGTTTTCTGTGATTTCTGTGCTCGAAACGTGGCGAGTGGCGGGAGGCCTTTAAAGGCCACCCGAGGCCTGGCTCGCTTCGGTTTATTGTAGAAATTTATTTATGGTTTATTGGAATTTTTGCGCGCTACCGGCAGCAATTTTTAAAATTCAATAACAGCGCGTGTGGGGGTCGGGGGGATCCAACGAAAGAGAGAGCGATATAAATGGCGAAAAGCGTGAATAATTTTTGGATGAAAAATATGCAGAGACGTGCAAAATGCCCATAAAGCCAATAATGGAGGCCAAAAATGCAGGTTTCAAAGAAATCAATTTCGTAAAATTCGTAAAGTCAATGAAATTGACAAAAATAAAATTGTAAGAAATATTTCAGTAGATCGGAAATATGTTAAAGAAAGTAAAGGAAAATTTGTATTTACTTAACTGTTTTTGCAGAGGAATTTTTGAAATTAAAAATAAAATTCCTTTGGAATTCCATTTGTTTTTTAAGCGATACGAGAAAATATTATATTTTTAGCATTTCAAGTTCTTTATCAAAATTCAATTCAACTATTTGCATAAACAATTCATTAATTTTAAATTAAATGCCTTTGAAATCCTTTTTTTTAAGCGATAAGTGAAAATATTGTATTTTTAGCATGACAAGTTTTTTATCAAAATTCAATTAAACTATTTTTATAAAAAGAAAAATCAAAATTTATATAAAAAAATAAATTTATAAAAAATAATAAACATAAAAACAATAATATTTAAATTATTTAAGGAACAATATTTAAGAGAGGATGCGCTTTATGTCTCAAGTTAGGATCAATGTGTACATCTAGATACATTTGTATGTACATTTGAAGATCCATTTGCTTTAGATACATCGAAACATTCATACAATCCATGAGAGTGTATGTGTGTGAATGTATAATCTACTTGATGCATAACCCTAACAAATGCGCAGATGTTTCATTTCATTTAAAAGTAAAAGAAAAAAAAAATCAAAAGAAAAAACCCGAGCAAGCAAGAAAGAAAGAGAGAGAGAAAAGCAGAGAAATTCCTCAACGCTCGACTCTCAACGCTTGGGCGTTTAATTCAGTGAAACATTTTTAACAATGTCCATGCAATTTGAAACAAACAAAGGGAATGTTTGTGTTAATTGAAAGCGTGAAGAGCGAGACACAGTTAGTGCGCAATGAGTGCGACAGAGATGGGGCTAGAGAAACGAGAGAAACGGGCGAAGAATGTCAGAAATCAATTATTTCGAAACTGCAAAAATTCCAATGTACATTTTGCAATTGTTTATGAGTGAGAGATACACACACACACACACGCCATATTTTCCGCAAAAAAAGAGAGAGACAATATGGTAGGCAGAGAGGAGATATATCCGAGCGAGAGGCAAGACAAAAAGTCTAGTTTTTGCCTCCGACGTTTTATGTGCCCTCGTAGAAATACCGTAATTCCAATTGCCTTTCTCTGAGTTACAAAGATCTTTCGAAAATCATACTACTCTCCTTTCGGCAAGAGTATCAAAATGCTGAGCGAACGGCAAACTAAAATGTATCTATGGCCCGATGTAGTGCGGTACCCCCTTCCAACCACACATCTTCAGATCATGCCACTCTGGATCTCTCTCTCTCTCGGTCTCTCGGGCTCTGCTTCGTTTGCTCTCTTGTACTCATTACGTATGAGATTGTTAGTTTTTGTTTTTTTTTTTTGCAGATCATTCGCTGAGCTTTATTTAACTTTTGCTCTCCCATTTGCCCCTTTATCCCACCAGCCATTGCTCCGTTCGTCTTGCTGTACATTTATTTTCCCTCTCTTTCTGTCGTACGTTTCATTGCTCTCTCCATCAGGCGCACATTTTTCCCCCCCTCTCCAGCTGCCGCATTCCTCTTTTCACCACTCTCTTTCTACCTTTTACATTTCATTTTTTGTTTGTTGCCGTTGTCTCTCTCTGTCTCTCTCCCTCTGGTTCTCACTCTCTCTCGCTTCAGTTTTCAGTTATATTTGGAGTCTTAATCATCGCCTTGGAATGTTTACTTAAGGCTTTTTTGTTGTTGTTTAAAATATGTAATTTATTTTGCTTTGTTTTTGTGGTGCTTCAGATTCTTCTTCTTCTCCATTCACCTCTCGCATTCCTTTACATACACAAACACAGAGGAACACATACATGTGCATCACGCACCTTTATCTTTCCGGTTCGAGCGCTTTGGAATTGGAATCGGAATTTATATGGGTTTTTTTTTTTTTTTTTTATAAGCTTCCTGATCCGCTCTCTCTCTCTCTCTGTTTCTCTTATATGTAGTACATATATGTACATTTGTAGAGACTTACCAATCTCTGGGATCCAGCCATGTGGTCTTTTTGTTGATGTGATCTATGTAGTAGGTCTTGCCATCGAAATCCTTGGCAATGTCCCAGCCGTCCGGCAGGGGGAAGTCGCTGTGGGGCCCGTGCTGGTGGTGCTGTTGGTGTTGATGGTGATGGTGGTGTTGCTGGTGCTGTGGCCGCAGATGGTGCGGATGGGGTTGCAGGTGGTGCTGCGGCGCCGATTGCTGCAGATTTGGCATCGTGCAGCGGGGGAGTCTGTCCGGTTCAAGGGGGGGTAGAGGCGGTCAGTCCCACACAAAAAAACTTGTCACTTGGCGCGCGCTTTTCTCGTTTTCTTCACCTTTTTTTTTTTGCTCTTTTCGGTTTCTCTTTTACGTTGACTTTGCCTTGTACATTTTTTCAGCGATAATAGAGCGCACACAAAGGGCGATGCGGGGGGATGGGTTTTGTGCATTCCATTCCAGCCCAAAACACACGCACACGCACACTGCCACAGGGGGCACACTGGCACACGCGATACGCACACTACCAACGATCGCTGCTGTTACTTTTCATTTCGTTCGCACTCGCACAAAAACTACTGTTGTTTGGCGCGATCTGGCAGCTGTTGCTCCTTTTCGCCTAATTGAAACTAATTAGCCAATAACTTAGCGCCGTTGGCCTGTTGCTTTTCCTCTGCTCCGCCGCACTAAACACCATTCATTTGTCCGCGACGACGCAGCCGCGCAGTTCAAAAGTGGATATTATCGATAAATATTTCTTTGATAATATCTGTAATTTCTAGGTGATGTTTTATCAATGATTACGGATTATTCAACGCAATTTTCTGAATTCAGAAAAAATTCGACACTCTCTCGTTGTTGTTTGATTGCGCGCGGCCGAAAAATATGTGAGACCGTGGGTTGATGTTAACAAAAATGTGCCGAGTGACCCTCAGAAATATACCAAAATATACCGTCACATCTTAAAAATATACCGTAAATATACTAACGAATTCATGTTATATCTTACATATTCCCCGTTTTTGATCTTCCGTGAAATATTACCATCTATATAGAACATTTAGCCTAGCCCACATAATTTTATACGATTAATGAATCAATTTTCTACAAGATTGGATAGTTTTTTATCCTTGCTTTTATTGTATTTTGGCTAAAACAAGTCTTAAACGAAATAGTTCAACAAAAAAACAGTCACAATGTTGCTGGTATTTAAAGACATGATGCGTGTATAGGCGTTTGTACACCCTATTTCGTTAATTTTATATGAAGATGAAAAGTGATTTATAAAGACTTTTTCTGTAATTGATATTCTTTAGATATATTCAAGTACATTATTAGTATCTTGTATATATTTATGTCGTCCTGATACCTACTGAGCCTTGGAAGACAAACGTATTCACAATTCTATAACATCCATTTCCCCCAGGGTATGTGTGCATGGAATTAGCAACATGTTTGTGTATGGAGTGAGACTCATTGTTGCAAAAGCTAAACTGCGGCGAATCGGGTATTGCCTATATTTCAAGCTATATAGATTTGCCCACTTGGCTTTATCCCATAGATAAATGCATTTTCTACAAGATTGCTTCTTTTAATTACCTTTATGTATTTTATTTTGACCAAAAAACGGTTTTCAAGTAAATGTTGCCGCAACTTTTGTGTATGGAATGCGCAACATTTGTGTATGGAATGAGACTCATTGTTGCCAAAGCGAATTGCGGCGAACTGCGGCGAACTGCGGCGAATTCAAATTCCTCATATTCTTTGTTCCGTTGAATAATACTATCTATATGGAAGATTTAGCCATGCCCACTCAATTTAATACGATTGATGAATCAATTCTATACATGATTGGCCTATTCGAAATACTTGCATTTATTGGATTTCTATATAACACTGAAAATTAAATTAATAGATGACAAAAATACCATTTAGCACTAAAAAACACCTCATGGGAGCGCGGCGAAAACCAGTTTCTACAGTATATACGGTCTCATTTGAAAAATATACCGAGTGGTGCGCGCCAAATCGAACTTTTTTGAATGTGAGCGACAAGGATTTAAATGTTGTCAACCGGGCCTTTATCTATGCCCACATAATTTTATACGATTAATGAATAAATTTTCTACTTAACTGGCCAGTTTTTAGTCCTGCTTTTATTGTATTTTGACTAAACAAGGTTTAAGCAAAATAGTTCAACAAGAAAACAGTTGCAATGTCGCTGGAATTTGAAGACATAACGCTTGTATAGGCCTTTGTACACCCTTTTTCCTCAATTCTATAACATCCATTTCCCCCAGGGTATGTTAGCAACATGTTTGTGTATGGAATGAGACTCATTGTTGCCAAAGCGAATTGCGGCGAACTGCGGCGAATTCAAATTCGATTCAAAAAAACGACCAATTCCTCATATTCTTTGTTCCGTTGAATAATACTTTCTATATAGAACATTTAGCCATGCCCACTCAATTTTGTACGATTGATGAATCAATTCTATACATGATTGGCCTATTCGAAATACTTGCATTTATTGGATTTTTATATAAAATTGAAAATTAAATTAATAGATTGAAGAAAATGGACAAAAATGATTTCTTCTTTTTTCCACGAAATTTTCATGTTTTAAAATACCGGAAAATACCGAATATTTCCACTAAATTTGTTTCCTTACATGGTAACTACACAATTATTACATATTAACTACATTTTCATATAATTACAAAGGCGACACCTGAAGGCGAAATGTGTACGTTGCAAAAATGTGTACCCGTTTTTTTCATATAAGCCCGTTAATCTCCGTTATCCAATTCTTTGAAAAAATTGATATTTTGATGGCAAACGATCAGGAATTCGATTCTAATCAGGTATTAGTATTCGAAGTGGCCTGGGACATTGCTCTAAGTGGCATTTATACACGGTTTCTACATTGGTGAAAGGGACAAGAGGGTGAGTCCATAACGCGTCTTCAAAAATATACTGGAAAATACTAGAAAAAACTCTGAAACGTATGTTTCCGCAGCATGTCGACACAACATTCTCTGCAACAATCATGGCATATAAGCGATCAAAAGGTGAGGTGAGGTATAAAATGGATTTGAATTTGTTATGGATTTTTTTTAAGCTAAAAATATTCGTGTAGTAGTTATCTCTTTTTTGCTCTAATATGTTGTAGTTGAATGATCCAATTTTAAAATTAATGAATCCGTTAATTTCGCCTCATAACTGCGTTGTGCTGATAAAAAAATCAAAATTGGTGCTGCTGATTTCGGAGAGTTTTTCGTTGCCGCAAATAAAAAGCAAACGTCTATATACAACAAATCGATCCGATGATCCACATAACAGTGGTTTTTGTGCGTTTAACAGGACACAAAAATTTGCGAAAACGGATAATAGTCGCGCTTTAATACATTTGGGATTCGAATCTTGCGGGCCACCACAAAAGGAACAAATTACATGGCATCCTTTTGATCACCAGTCGATATCCATCTATCGATTACTATTCTGAGAATCGTTCGAGTCGAGTCCAGGGCTACCTTTTACGGTATTTTATGTATGTTTACGGTATATAATGGTATATTTCAGCAATTTCATTTCACTTCTTGTACCGTTAAAAAATCATTTGAAATGTTTTGTACTTTCGATATTGTATTTGCATTTAAAGTAATTGTAAAAATGGAGTCAACAAGACTAACACAGCTTTTCAGAAAGGAAACATCTTCAACGGAAATTCAAGATAGAAAGAAAGAAGGGTAGACATAGACACCTTCCGCTCCGCTCGTGCAGTGCCGACTGACTCGTGGATAGACTAACACGAAACCCTAACTAAACAGTAAGCTATACATAAATTAATCATATCGGTCAACAACTACAACTAAATATTAGTTAATATGCAGATATAGAGTGCTCCATAAGCTATTTACATTAGGCGTAGCAAGAGAGTCCCGCTGCCGGAGCCGGGCCCTCAGGAGAGGATCGGCGCACTGCAGCCGTTGTTCAGGCGGTACTCGGCATACACCAGCCCGGTGTTGTGCCAGTGGTAGAAGGCGGCCACGATGATAAGGTGCCACCAATTGTGCGAGTGTCCTACAAAATCCACCTTGCCCGTGAACCAGCGCTCCGGTATCTTGGCCGCATAGAACACAAAGGCGATGAGGCACAGCAGGTACATGACAACAATGCGGGGCGCCATCAGCTGCAAGGTATCAAATTCGATGAGCATTTCTTGTAAGGCAAAGACCAAGTCTAATGTGGACTCACCCGGACCAGCTCGTTCTCCAGTCCACCCATCGCCACGGCCCAGTGGCCCAGAGGAATGACACCGTAGGCAGACCAGAGCAACAGCACTGCCACCTTGCCGTTCATGGAGACATTCAGTTTGGGTATCTGCACAGCGATGGCCAGGCCGAACATGCCCATGGCAATGGTCGAGTACAGAGTGCGCAGAAAGGTGTGGCACCAGAAGGCATAGTACATGCCACTTATGTAGATGGCCACCAGCGAGAGGGATATGCCCAGGAAATCAACCGACAGGAACAGCTCATAGTGCTCCTCCGATTTGCACGAGAATATGTGATATATGGCGGACATCAGCATGCACAGGCAGAAGCAGACCAGCAGACAGACGACCAGCACCTGATCGGTCAACGAGGCGTGGATGCGCAGGAACTGAAAGTCAAAGATCGTCAGGGCAATGAAGAGTATGCACCCAGCCAGATGGCTCCAGATATTGATCTACAGAAAGAACCAAAAAACCAAAATTAAAATTCAAATCGAAATGGTCTGTATTCGATTCACTCACCGTCTCGTTGGTCCACCAGAAAATGCTCTGCAGGCACAGCTTGTTCGAGAGGAATGTACGGTAGCCGCGTCGGATGTACGGATTGAACTTCAGATGGCTGGGGGCCTGCAACACACCGATCAAATACCAATTAAATATTGCAAAGAAAAAACAGGAAAATAAATGCAAATCAAATGCGCTCCACATCGAAAAAAAATGGCACAGAGAATTGTAAATGGAAGCAAAGTTTTTGTGTGGCTGGCATCGAGCCCAATTTACGGGTAGAGCCCCAATTCTGTTCAGGGTTCAATTAAAAGTAAATGAAATTAATTGATTTAATTTAAGCAACTATCAGTGGTTTAGTGGAATATCATATGAAATGGCTATCAGTTAAGAGATCTTTAAGACTTTCATGTAATGCCCTCACATGGGATTTACCAGCTTTTAAAGCTACGAAACAATAGATACATATGTATGTACTATATATACCTGAGGTTTTTCCCATTATACAAATACGAGACTCAAACAGTAGCTTCTTTTTATTTGTGGCCCTCTGCTCGATGTTGTGTGGCTTTTTGTGGCTTTGTGACCTTGATTCAGTTGGCTTTTTGGTTTGTTTAATTGTATTATTTTGCAATTGCTGACAGCGTTTTCATAGGCTTTTTTTCAGCCAGCAAATGCCAATTGTTTAGGCACACACCGCCGAGGCAGCCAATGCCCAATGGCCAATGATAATGACAATATGTTTAATGCATGTAAATTGAATGAAAAAATGGTGGGCTTGTCTTTCTTGCCCCTGACCGATTGCGCATTTTGTCAGTGCGCCAAAAACAAATTGCGATCAATTAAAATTCAGTGTGCGCGACAATTGATGCCAAATTGACCCCCAAGACATGGTTACGACTCCGTAAACCGTTCGTTCCACTCACATCATCGAAATTGCACAGCCATTTGAATCTCTTCTCATCGTAGCTGGGGCCATGTCCAAGTACATTCGGCTCTTCATTGGACGGAAACTGATGCGATGCGTCCGTCTCCGATGCCGACCCGACCAGTTGGCCATCGAGCTGAAAGAGTCGAAGAAACAAAATGTTATCAATTAGTTTTCCGGCTCATTCGATATGAATTGGGTACAGCACAGATACGAGTATTCTTCTGGGGGTTTTTGCTTTTGATTCTTCCGCCTTTTCGACTAGACCCTGGCAACTGTTTTATATTTAGTTTTATAATTGATTTGTGTGCAAATTTTATTTGTATTATCTTCGGGTTATGTGTGTGTGTTATGGGGCTCTTCATGATGTCCCTTTGCAGAATGTTTTCTGGTTTGAACCAAAAATGGGCGGCACTTGCGCGTGTTTTTAAAGTACAGTCGGAACCCTTTTAAGGCAAAATATTGAGGTTGAAGATAGGGGTTTAGATATATTTATTGAACTCGAATTTTTCTATAATTGTAGCTTAATTATTGGCTTGGTTCAATTCAAATAGTGTGGTATTTTTTCCTATCTTATAGAACCTATATCTTTTATTCTCTTTTTTGTTTTTTTCCTGCAAAAAAATATGGCCTGTATATATGTACATATATGTATTATGGCTAAAGATCAGTTGGGATCAAAAAAGATTAAATATTTATAAATATTATCGAACTTAAGTTCGATTTTAATTTTAATTTTTAAGTTTGAGAATATGGGATTTATATATTTATTGAACTCAAATTTTTCAATAATTCTAGCTACAGTTTTGGCTTGGTTTAAGGTCAATTCAATTCAAATAGTGTGGTATTTTTCCTATCTTATAGAACCTACATATATCTTTTAGTCTTTTTTTCGTTTCTTGCAGGAAAATATGGCTTGCATATACATATATGGCTAAGAATCAGTTGGGGCTAAAAAAACATATTTATAAATATAATCGAACTTAAGTTTAATTTATTTTAAATCTTTTATAAAATCCTATTATATTCCTTGGTTGGTCTACGATTGACACCGAAGTTTACAAATAATTCTTTTTGGTGTTTCAGATTTTATTATTATTAATTTTTCTGTGTATGTGTAAGTGTCTGTGTGCGTTGCGGTTCCTGCTATTGGTTTCTGGTTTCGCGAGCGAGTCTCATAATATCCATTGCGAAATTGCAATAAAAACAACAACAACAGAAGCAGCACTAACAACCCCATAAATAAATAGCAATAGCAATAGCAATGGCAACAACAACAACAAAAACAACAGCCAAAGGGGGCTTGACTGTAATTTGTTTATACAGTTTCCCCACTTATACGACTAATGCACATTTCGAATAACAACAACAGACTGCAAGTGTGGGAGCTGCATCTCTATCTGTGTGCGTGTGTGTGGGTGTATGTGTGTGGGTGTGAGTGCAAGTGCTTTATCCATTTCATTTCATTTCATTTCGATGACGTACTGTTTATTGTTTACAACACGTATGGCAGTCCCTGTGTGTGCATTCTTTAGAAAGCTTTTTGTTTTTGCACTTGTCGCGGCAGCAACGCGCCCATAAACGGTTCGGACTGTACCACACACCCAAAGGGAAATGTTGGTACAGTCGGTGGATGGCATTGACTTAAAACAAATCGAATAAATCTGGGTATAATTCCAAGTCTGGAATATCTAAGGTATTTAATTTTTTTTTATAATTTTCTGTTTATTGTTTTGGGTTTAAAAAGGCAGGGAGTGAAATAGTAAAGAATTTTTAAAGTGAAGAATAGTTTTGGGTTCAAAAAGGAAGGCTATTTCACAGTAAAGAATTGCCGTTGTTAAAGGATCACTCGACAGACAGAAAACATTACGACTTGGCAGTAAGATAATATTGTGTTTAAAATCCAACCATTAAAAACCATTTTTGAAGTTTGTGGTACTTTGGGTTTCAGGCTAATTTGAGATAAAAAGTTGTCTACCTTCCAAATAGTTTTTTTATAGCTAAAAAATGACAGCATGAATCGCATTAATTTCACACATTAATTTATATTATCAATTTGGAATCATAAAAATCTACATTACATTTTGGATGTCTCGTACTTAAAAAAAAAAATTTTGCTCTCTCCGTTTTTGTATTTTTAATAATCAAAAAACCATTACATACACATAAAAATTGATTATTTATACACAAATATTTTTGCATTTCAATATTGTGAATCACCAACATTTTCGCTTGGGTGTACTTGCACGCTTTGCGTGTGGAAAACAGCTGCAACACCAGCTGTAAATGGCGGGAGGGTGGCTGCGATTCAACAACTTGACACCGTGCAATTATCAAATATTTTCAGCAAATAAACACCGACACAAAACGAAAATCCCGAGAGACTTACTAATAGTTAATTGTCGGCAAATACTAGAACCGCACCTAATGGAACAGGATGTGCAATTAATTCCCCATTGACGTACTTTCGTTACGTGTGTCCCGTACAAACACTTTTGATTTATTTTTGGGTATGGCTTACGTCTATCTTTTTGCAGCGCCTCAAATCGTTTGTGGTTGTTGTTGTTGTGGTGACAATAGTGGTCTCCATTTTTCAATAATTATCACTAAAAGCACTTTGAATGTTTATAAATTACACAAAAATATATGTATCTTTGTTGTTTGAGCACTTGATTTCGAAAAACGTTTTTGAAAGTGGGTTCGCGTCTCCTTAGGGAAGTATCTCCACTTTTCCAACTGAGGCGCAGAACTGGCATAAACCGTTGCGATCGCTATCCAGCGGGCAACTAAAACCCGTCAAGATCCCCCCAGTGTGGGGCCAACAGAAATCGTAAAAGCTCTCAAGCTTTGGGCTACAGCATCTGAGGTTGCAGAATGTTTTGTTGAGTGCCCCCAAAGCTTGCCTGAGAGGGGTCGACAGTTATGCCGAAATTATGCGAAATTTCATTGCTGATGAGAGCTTTCATCGGTTGTGCAAGCGGCCTATTTCGGTCAAGCCATGTTGTTGGTACCCTACCTACCCGCATACAAATTATATAACCACTCAAGTCGGAGCCGCGTTGAACGCGCTTACGAGCAGAGACTGCTCTCTCCTCTTGACAACTTGTCGCTTATAATTTGAACCGCAATGAACGGTTTAGAATTGAATTCTATAAACATTTTCATACTGACGATATCTTGGAAAAATACATATGTACTCCGATTCTCAATAAAACATTCCGTACCAAATTTGTTATTTCTTCCTGAAAGTAATTTAATCGCGTAAATCTCGGTTCGAAAATGAACCCTTCTCTGTGTGTATAAATTACACCAGTCAACAAAGTCTTGGTATTTTTGTTATTTTTATTTGATTCGGGGAATTGCTTCAAATGGCCACAGCCTAGGTGTTAAACTATCGATTTTCGATTTTCGTTCCTATAGGAATAAAACATAAAACACTCGTCAACAGCAAAAAAAAACCCTACCATCAAATACACTTTTTCTGATAAAAAAAAAACATAATTTCACCAAAAAAAAAGAGCCATTAAATTCTGATACAAATAAAAAATATTTTTCCAATTTTTTTTAATAGTTTGCGTTTTCTATTAAAAAAATTATAAAATATTGTTTTTTTTATCAAATATAATCTTGGAATTTTTATAATAAACAAGGCCTAATGATCGTTCCTATATAAATAAATCACAAAACAGCATAAATAACATTTTTGACGACATTATCTGATTTGGAAAAATTCAAATTTCGTTGAAAAACACCGAAAAAATACTAAATTTTGCATTTGAAATCTCACAGACGGTATACTTAAGGTACAGTTTTCAACGCCGTTTGAAAGTTACATTAATTAGCTTTTCAAAATGCAAAAAATTCTAAAATTACCTCTAACAAAAAAAAAACAATATTTGATAATTTTTCCATTAAAAACCCTATTAAACAAAAATTATTGGAAAAATATGGGTTTTTTATCAGAAAATTGTTTTTTTTTGTGTCTGTTGACTAGTGTAATAGCTAAGACTTTCTGCAGAGTATGCAAAGTCAATCAGTGATCAGTGTCAATAGGTGGGGCACATTCACCCTGTTCATTGAGAACAATTTGTAAACAGAGTTGCATAAGCTGCGAGGGCTTGAGCTTTTCTCCGGCTCTTGACGTTGTAATTGCTGTGCACGATCTCAAAATACGGATGCAAGATTCGTTTTAAGCGCATTCGAGAGAGTCGTAAATAACAATGGAAACCCGTTTTGGCTTTCGTTGAACTTCAGAGGAATTCCGCGTGAGCCGAGGGCTTTCGCAACATAATGTAAACATAATGCGTAACCAGATATCGGTGTGGTGTGGCAAGCTCTAATCGGTCACAAACCGTCCCGGTCCCCCTTGCAGCAGTCCATAATTGGGGCTCAGCCCGACCTTGACTCCAATCGCTCGAAGCCGTCTAGTGCGCCAGCAGCCCTGAGGCCTGGCCTGGCGATGGCAAAAATAGCGAACTCTGCTACTTTTCTTTAAGGTTAGCCAACGATCGCTCGCTCGCGGCCCAATGAGCTTTCGCTACGCCGTTCGGCGTGTGGCTTTTTTCAGCAGATGCTCGATGCTCGATGCACGTGTCGTTTCGTCACAGGTATGAGCAGGTGCGCGGGGTCATGTATATATACATATACATATGTACTTTATCATATAAATAAATATGTACTTAAAGTATAATCAATGTTTCTGAATGAAGCTTTAAATAGTGTTACTGTAAATATGGAATACACAATGTACGTAGCTTTGAGCCTAGTTTTAGAGCAGGTCTATAGATAATTCATGTTTGCCCCCATGAAAGAAAGGTGTTTCAAGACTTTTATAGGTACTAATGTGATCTAAGCTTGTTTATCTATTATAAACGATACCTGAAACGACACCAAAATAATGCAGCTATACAAATAATATAATAAAACCAAGGAAATACTTTTCTTCGACTTTTTCTGAGTTTTTAAAGTTAAAAATAAAAAAATACAAAAAATAAAACTTTAAGGAAATATAAAAAAAAAACAATATACATTTTTCGACTTTTCCTGAGTTTTTTAGGTTTAAAAAAATAAATAAATAAAGCTTTAAGGATATTTACAACAATATACAATTTTATTATTATTAAAAATAATAATAATAATACAACATTAAGAAAATATACCACAATATACTTTTTTTCGACTTTTCCTGAGTTTTTAAAGTTAAAATAATAAAAAAAAACATTAAGGAAATATACAACAATACACAATATACTTTTTTCTTCGACTTTTCCTGAGTTTTTAAAAAACTTTAAGAAAATATACAACCATCTGGGTACAAATTGTTAGCTGCATTTATCCGCTTTTCAAAATTGCAAAGTTTATTACAAACAGATGTCAGATAAGTTATGTTATGTAAAAAAAAAAACACTACCACTAAAAAAATTTAAAAAAATTCCCATTTAAATTACAAAAAATCTTGAACAGAAAAAATTGGTCTGGTTCGTGGACTAAAAGTGTTTTTGCATAGTGTTATCAGTAAATTTTATTTTTACGATTCATTTTTTTTCAGTTAAGTTTTTAATAATGTTTTTGCAAATTGAAACAAAGTGGGAATTAATCTAAAATCAAGCTGATGTTATACAGTTTTTTAAGAGGGCAAGGGTAATAAATGAATATAATACATATACATATATAGACATGTCTGCCCAAAGGAGTTGACGCTAAAGATTGAACTCTTGACTCAACTTCCTTAATGATTTTGCTTTTCGATTCAAGAATATTTGTTTTAAAGTGTAGGCACACAGGTAAAGGCGTCTAAACACACTTCCAAAACAACTGTTTTCTTATAAAGTTGAGCCTTTCATGATTTTAAGCGGAAAAAAAGTTTTTCTTTGGAAGTCTTATGCGATTGGTGGAAAATAAATCCCTCATTATTACACAGGAAAAAACTCAAACAACATATGGATTGTATGTACTGTTATTGTGTTTCGCAAAGAAAAACTTTGCCTGGACTTTGTACTTTGTACTCATTCTGGTGCTCTCTACCACTATCAGTACTCACCCAGCAGCCACTATCAGCGGCACCATCCTTTGCCGCCGCCTGGCGAATGTAGCACGCCGACTCGGCAACGCTCAGGCACTCCGATTCGGCGTTTGCCTCGAGGATATCGTGCGGCCGGGGACTCATCTCGAAGCCTGGACAGAACGAATAGAGTTTACTGTTGATTAGAGATCGTTTACGTTTCTGGTTTCATTCGCAAACAGATGTTTGTCGCGGGACTGGCACCGGCATTGGCATGGGGCATGTTCGCGAATCGGTGCGAAAATCGAGACGTGCGCCTAAACAAAAGACACTTGGGATGGGGTGTTAAGTGCAGAAGAGCTCTCTGCGTGCTGTTGCCATGTTGGAGTCCACATAGAAAGCGGCTCTCTCTCGCTCTCTTCTCTTTGAAGCTCGGTCTGACTTGTGAGCTTAAGCCGAGCCAGGCGGTTGTTTCTCTGTATGTTGGCAGGACTGCTCTCTCTCCTCTCTTGCGTGACCCCAAAGCCAAATATACACACTTGAACCGATGCAAATGCATTGCCAGGTGAATTTGTTTTTCAATACAACAATTACAATTTGTATCTCTCTCTCTCTCTCTTGCTCCCAAAACTGTTTGCATAACCAAAATTTCTAAAGACAATTTTTTAGGTCGATCTCTTGCTGGCTCTTCTCTTCTCTCCTCTTCATCTCTCTCTTTCTTCAACAATTCTAAGCACGTGCACACGCGTCTCGTCTCATTCAGTTTATAAGAAAAAACCTTCAATTGATTTTGAATTACTTTTTATAGAAATTCCACACGAATTTTCAAATTTGCTGAAAATGTTCTCGCGTACCTCTCGCCGCACGGGAAAAAAATAACTGAAACTGAAAAATCCGCACAGTCGCCACCAAAAGCGGCCCAGCGCACCAACGCGGAAGAGCGCAAGAGAGAGTGAACGAAAGAGCAGCGATCGGCAGCAAAAGCTCCACGAAACTTTGGTGCTCTTCGGCCCGAGCGAGAAGCGAGACCATGGTTGTTGTTGTTTGAATTGAATCTTTTGAATTGATGATGATGCAAATTTAGCATGCTGTAACCATCCATCTCCCTCGCTCTCTCTCTCTCTCTTTGTGTGTGTGTGTGTGTGTGTGCGCGGTGACCACGACTGCAAATGCCCTTCGCATTGACTTCCAACCAGTTGGTGGACATTTAATTTTGATTGGCAAAGCTTTTCCAGCACGAAAGCTTTTAAGCGGCTTATTTGAAAGTTAAAGCGTTCACTCACTCGCCCTATAAAAATGTTGTGACAAGAATTACTGAACACACACGCAAATTGGAACAGCTTAATGGCCCTATAAAAATTATCTTATTACCCGAAATGTATATCTAGCACAAACTCTTTTCGCATCTGTAGAAGTATGCTGTTAATCGGTGAATCTTCACTACCATTATTACAATTAGTAACTTATTTGAAGTTCTTTTGAGTTCCAACACAGTATAAGGATACATAAAGATATCTGGCCCTGAATGTCAGCTGTTTTCAGATAAATATTAGTGCTGGACCTTCATTCAAAACTTGTTTTGAGACATTTCCTCTCTTCCAAATGGCATACATCTACTTATTTTGTTTAGAATGGTATGTAGGCATAAGAAAACAGAAGTAATTCCCTTACATTTGCCTTCCCTATGGGTGTTCCTTTTTGATTTCGTGCTTGAACAAATTTTGGTTGCATTTTGGTCTTATTTTCTTTGATATCTGTTTTAAGGATTTGTTTATGAATCCTAACCTTAAAGGTTTAAACTATTTGATTTCCACAAACTTTAAAACAGAATTATAGAATTTTCGGTACATATGCTCAAAAAAGAATTGCCTTAAGATCGACTAAAAGTCTTAAGTCGAGGAGAACATAATCTAGAAAGCAACCGATAAGATTTCTTAAATACCCAACCATTTAAACCTGGAAACCCCATTGTGCTATAAGACAAAACCTAGAATAACAAGCTCTAAAGCATAGGATTTTCAGAAGAGTCATAGAAGAGCCGTAGAACTACTCTACTATAGATCTATTTTGCACACTTTTCAAATGAATCTTAGCTTAAAAAATGTAATTTTAAATTTAACAGCATTCAAGCCAAAAGAAACACATTTTGTATTAATTTTAGTAAACAAAACTAACAAAAATACATACATATAAGAAATGGGATTTGTGGAAAAACAGAACTGGCTAGCAGGGGGGGACTCCTGCTCTACCACGGTATCCAGGTCTTACAATTAGATCTTAAGGCACAGATAGAGGTTCTGCTTGGTGGTAGGAAAAATAGCGTTCCTTCTTATCCGTTCATTCTGAGCTTTATTTGTAGAAATTATATAGCCCACATATAAGTCCCTTAGCCCCTATGATTATCCTGTGTGGTTCCTGGCCTCTCGCTGTCTCAACAACAAAAGATGTCTTCCTTGGTGATGAAGAGAAACTCTACAAATCAAAGGAGTGGTGTGTGGTGTGTGGCAGGCGGCAGTTGATGACTTCCACAGGATCCACAGATGTGGATCGTCCACAATGGCGGTGTTTCTGTTTTGAGTTCTTTGATGTTGAAATTGAATTTTTGTAATTTTTATTTTTCCGGTTCTTTAAATATAATATAATAATAATAATAATTTTTCCAGCTGATTTTTTATTTGTAGTTTTGTTTTTCTTTGTATTTAAACTTATTATGTTTGATGCTGTGTTGTTGGTAGCTGTCTAGCTTTTAATGTTTAATGCTTACATAATTTTTTTTCTCAGTAATTATTATTAAATTATTTCCATTTATTTCTGTGTTGCTGCTGCTCTGCGCCGTTTGCTGCTGCTTCTGATGTTCGGTCAAACACTACCCTCTCATTCCCAGTACCAGTACCAGATCCAAGAGTCCCCAGTCTGCTTCCACCAATCTGCTGATGCCGCCGATGTTGTTGGTGTTGGTGTTGGTGTTCCTTCTGCTACTGCTGCACGACCCTCGTTCCCCTTGTGGCGGCTATTGTTTTTGTTGATTTGAATGCTGCCACTCAGGCGGAGGCGGCGGCAGCGGCAGGGGCGCAATTTCAAGTTGCTGCCATTGGTGTTGTTGTTGTTGTTCCAGATCTTGTTGGTGTAACGGTTATTTCTTTTGTTGGGTTGACTGCAAATTCGGATGTTGTTGTTGTTGTTGTTGTTTTTGCTGTAGCCGCAGCTCCTGCTGATATTGTTGCTGTTGCTGTTGTTGTTGCTATTGAAGTTGTTCTTGTGGTCAACCGCCCGGCGGCTGTTGCCAGTAATAACAAAATTGCGGCTGCAGCTGATCCATTCCCTTGGGTTTTTTTGACTATTTTTGCAAATTGTTGTTGTTGGTGTTGGTGTTGTGTTGGCTGCTGCTGCTTTTGTTGTTTTTGTTGTTGTTGTTGCTGCTGTTGTTGTTGCTGATGTTGTTGCTGTTGTTGTTGCTGTTATTGTTTTTGTTGGACTGCAATCTGGAACGCATCACATAGCATACTTTCTAGTCCACTCTCGTGCCAGCTCATTATATTTTTCCCGATCGGTTTTATATATTCGGGCAATCTCTGGAACAAGCGGATCGTCTGGATTGGGATCACAGAGTAGAGAGCAAATTGATAATAAGACTGCAAACAAATAGAGAGAAGAAATTCGATTTAGTATTCCACAAAATTCAGTAAAGATTCTGTAATACGATACCTTTTGAAATAGTTAATGCTGGCGACCACTGAGATCTTAATATATCGAGACAAATCGATCCATTGCTGTTGATGTTTGGATGGTATATGCGCGTTGTAAAAGCCACTTTTGGTGGCTTAAAGGGATAGTCTGTTGGAAAATGTATAGTTAAGAAGAATACACCTCCTTGATAAGGGCTGTCCGGCTGCAAAAGATTACAAATGATAAACAGAAGTTAGTAAAGAATTTCTCAAATATTTTCAAAGAAAAAAACTAATATTTTGTCTTGTTGATTTTGTACGTTGAAATAAAGAATGAAATGATTTTAGTTGAACTTAATGAAAGTGCCTTCAAAACCCTATCGAACAACTACGTAGTACTCAAAATTTGTTTAGACTAACGTTTAGGCCATTAATCCCTAAGGAATTACTACCTCTCTGGGCTATAATCTTCAGTATATATTCGAATAGAATATGCATTTGTTTATTATATATGCAGATCACTTTGATCTCTGGCTTTATGCATTATGTGAGGTTAGGTTGACTCGGACGGGCCTCAGCGGGTCCCCACATAGGCCAGTATGGCCCTTAGTTGTCCGGATAGGGGGGTGTGAACCGTCGCGGCAGTGTTTCGGGGATTTTAAAGTCCTCGAGAATCGAGGCATTACTTTTCCTAGAGCTTCTACAGCTATAGCTTCATAGAATATGTGTCAATATATTCTTGCTACTCATATTTCCAAGAGCATGTCTGCTATATAAATAATACATGACTAATTTCCAAGAACAGTGCCAGCACTGACAGGAGTCTCAGCATGCCACTATAACATCGACCGCTTAGCCACGAGATACGGGCTTTCTTCCTCCAAGACTTCCGTCGATGTTTCACATAAAAACGATGATGAAATAGAGGCTGTAGAGGCCCTACTTTGCGCTTCCGGGAAGCCTTGGAGGCTAACAAAGTTTAACAAAGTTATGCTTGGCACAAACATCATTAGGAGAGTATACTAAACATAATCCTTCTCAGATATCTTCTACAAGTTTACACAGATCTAAGGTCTGTCTAACAACAGACTGGCCTATGGATTGTCTATAGTCTTTGTGATTTGCCACGCTTCTGATTCCCATTTTCCCGAGTGTTCTGTTCTATCCGAACTTCAACTGCAAAAACAACAAGACAATTAGTTTAAATCTTCTTGAATCAATCAAACGACATATTTGCTTGATAGAGCCATGATCTGATCTGATCTGATCCGATCTGTTGTGTGGCATTCCTCTTACCGGGCCCATTATTGTAGCTTGCCAGTGAAACACTGTAAAAGAGAAGGAAAAAAATATAGATACATTAGTCAAACATTGATAAATACGCATTAGAGCAGATAATGGCCGAGTACTTGGAGCAAATACATGGGTACAAAATGCAATCGCACTATGGAGAAGTGGTATTTGTGTTTTTTTTTTGTGTGGGGGGAGGCAGGGCCTTGAAACAGTGGGCATTCGCAAGAAGGAAGGCACAGAAATTGGGACTGAGAAATCTAGACTGAAAGACGGATATGGCATGTGCCAAAGCGGTAAACTAGTTGACAAAACGTCGTTTACCAACACTGAATCTAATCTAATTAAACCTATATTTATCACTCTCACACTGCCTGTATTTTTTTTATCCTGAAGGCCGCCCTTGAGGCGCCATGGCTATAAATATTATTTACAACACAATTTTATAAAAAATAAAATATATTTATATAAAATACATGTAATATATTAAATATAAATATATATTAAAAATAAAATAAATTATAAAATGTTTTGTAAATAAAATAAATTAGAATATATTTTATTTATTTATTTGGCCCAATGATTTTTAGCCCTATAGAGATTGTTGATGTTCAAGATATTCCTTCTAATTAATTTAATAACTTTCTTTATAATTTGTCCCCTCTGTAGGTCTCATTAATCGACCTTGAGGAACAAATAACGACTATTATTTCCAATAAATTTTCCACTCAAGTCCCCCATTAGCCACATTTCACTGTATGTGTGGTGGTGTTGCCCAACTCGCTCGCTCATTACCAAAAACAAATGCAGCAGCAACTGCATTGCACCGTACCGCCCCGCACCCTTCTCTCTCTCTCCCACTCTCTCTCTCTCTAGTTGTGCCTCTCTCATTGGCACGCTCTTTGGCGTTGCCCCGTGTATGAAGAACAAAAACAAACAATGCCAGAGCCAAAGAGCCTTGGCACCGACAACTGGCAACACCAGCAGCTTGCTATCTCGTTCGAACACAGGCAGACAGGCAGACAGACGGACAGAGAGACAGAGAGACACGAGCAGGCCCCAGCCCCATGGCCAGAGCTACTGCGCGCCGCTCTACTCTACTGTCAATGTCATCCCAGGGACCCCGGGGACCCAGGGCGAGTCCGTTGTGTCGTCGCATGCAGAAGAACAGAAGAAAAACCTTCTCTAACCAAACCGCTGAGAACTGGGACGTTCTGCCCCAGCTGCAGCAGCTCCCCTCCCCCACCAACCTTGTCCTCCAGCTCCTCCTCTTCTTCTGACCGGAAACCATAATTACACAAATCATGGCTCGTTTTTCAGTTAGAACCTGGCCTGGAGTCGGAGCTGGACAGGGCCGCTTCTTTCTTTTATTTATTTAGAGCCTTGTCGCCACTTGGCTAATAATCAATAAATTTTGGGCGGGCGAAGAAATTACTGCGAGGTAATAAATCCTCTAGCTTTAGAGGAGATCGTGAAAGAATCAATTCAATGGTTTTTTGGATTTTCAACAAAAACTGATAACCGAGACTCCAATTGAGCAGTAAAACGCCTCATCACGCACACGACATGCATTTTGTTTTTCAAATTTTCAAGCATAGATCTCAGAGCAAGGAAGCATCGAAAGTCAAATATATGAAGTTATCTCTGAAGTTAAGAACTTTTGGAGATCTATTTCTTCCTGCCTAAGACTGCGATCATCACTTTAGACTTTAGTGGCAGTCTCGTGTTAAAATACGATCTAAAATATATATAAAACTCTAAGTAAATAAATACATTGAAGACACCCGTCCACAAACCACACACAGATGTGGGGAGGAGTGGGGGTGGGGCAGCAGGCATTTGAAGCCCCGCCCCTTCATTGAATTTCTTTTGTTTTTTCCCCCCTCGACTTGGAAACTTTTTGCGAAGGGCCCAGTACGGGTTGGGTTGGGGTCTTGAGCGAATGAGCGCACTTTCCGAATAAAATACTGATAATAATGATGATAAGGCGAGTGAAAAATGCAAGACCACCTGATAAGCAGTAACGGAAGCGATTTTCGCATATACAATCTATATATATTCACACACACACACACACAGACACTAATTTGAATAGACGATTAAATATTGATGATAGAAATTGAGTGAAATCGCTTAATAATCGACCATAATTATCTGTAAACGATGACAATTGATATTATTCATAGTTTTACTTGATTTGTGGCACTGAATCATGTGTTATCTGGAATCGCGGAAATGAGAAACGAAGATCATAAAAAGAAAGGATTCAGATATAGGCGAATCTATTGCCATAAATTCTCAACCAAATAGACACTAAAAGATCGACAAAGACCTAAAGGAAAATTGGCAATAGATCATATTTATGGACTTGAACTTATGGACTATACAGTCAAACTTCTATATAGAAAATCTCAAGGGGATATATCGTAATATAGAATTTATTTGTGCGGGATATTCCGAAACGAAATTCTTGATATAGAAAACTTCATTGTACGGAAGTTCCTCACAGAGAAGTTCGACGGTAACACACATTAATGTTCTAAAAGGATAGGACACTAGAAGGATGGGGAAAGCTCTACAGAGCCTATATAAAGAAAATTTAACAAATTTCCAATAATTAATGTTAAATTTCCTAATATCTGTAATAAGTGTACACCTTTTTGTGGTTTCAGATGGAAAAAACTAACTTTAAAAGTTACTCTTTCTTTAGTGCTTGTCGTAGGTACAGTCATAAAAATATATATTTGCAGCTGTTTCTACACCCACACCATCCCAACCAACCAACCAACCAACCATTCATCACCTTCGGCAATGCGATGTAATTACACGATTTCACTTTTATATGACGTCATTGGAGAGCGACCCTCCGTGTCTTTCGCACAGTTTTCAATAACAGTAGTTCGCGTACTGTACCGCTATGTATGTACAGGCAATGGAAACTGTTGTTGGAGTCCGACTTTGAGCGATCAGCTGTTGAAGCGTCGGCAATACAGAAATTAGCATAAACCAAAAGCAATATGTGGGGCCCACAAATAGAAAAGCAAACAACAATAGAAAAAAAAACACACAATAACTGCCTAGTCACGTAGCGATTCCATGACGTGGATGCTCAATCGATAGTATTTGAGTATAGCCATTAATTAGGAGGGTATATTCCAAGACAACTGTTTTGTAAGGCAAGGTATGGCAACACCTTAGAAGGAGTAAAGATACATCTACACTGTACTCTCCTTAACCCACTTATAGGCTGCCTCTTTCCGGCTATAATCTATCTTTGCCTGTCTTCTACCGTTGTTAAATCTCCAGTACGTTTCGGGGGGGCATGAGGTCTCCATATACAGATCTTTGTAGAATACTTACAATCGTCTCCAACTGGTCCGGCTGAACATTGTGCAGGTGGATCTCTGCCCAGATCTTGCAGTTCCTATAAACAAAAGGAAGCAATTAACAATAGATTAGTATATGGTTGGTATAGTATATAGAAGGATTGTACATATGTAAAATGTGAATAGTGCTGCATGTTCTGTCGCCATTTGAATGAATTTTTGAACACATTTTGAAAATATAAATATTTTTATATGTGAAGACGACAGTTCGGGCCCGTGGCAGAGCCAGGCCAGCCAGAAGAGAGGCGAAAAATCAAGTTCGTTGGCCCGAACCAAATGGTGCGCTCTCTCTCTCTCTCTTGCTTTCCTCTCTGCCAGTCGCCAGGCTTTGTAATGCATCCCCTGTCTCTGTCGCACTCGCGCACGCACACAGCTGAGCGGCTGATGTTCTCCCAACCCTACGACCCCCGCCATCCATAGCTAGCACAGCTGCCAACTGGGGGCGCACACACACACACACACAGGCTGCCCGAGAGAGAATGCGGTGCAAAGTAAACCGGCAAAAAGCGAAAAAAACGGAAAACGAAGAAATAAAGATGAGCTGTGCTGTGAAAAGGTAGCACAAGCACACGAACAACAAGGGCTCAGGGGTGGTGGTGGAGGATGGAAAGAACATCTCACATGTACATACATATGTAGCCGTGTGTTAATGTGTAACGGCACCCCAAAATGTTGTCTTTCTTTTTACATGTTCTGCTGTGGCTCTCTTTGTGACGTTACAGAAGCAAGAAATATTTGCGGCGGGGAAGATAACAAAAATAGCTGCCTAACAAAAACAACAACAACACTTGTCTTATATATTAATATTTTTTTTGAAGGTGCAGGTTGCTGCTGGGCCTGACACTCTCGCCCACTCTCACACGCACTCACTCACTCACTCACTCACTCTTACTCATCCCGTCTTGTACCTGTTGAGCAAAAATAAATTACAAAGAAAGAAAAACCTAAGAAACGGTAACATTTATGAGACGCCAACGCCGCGGCCAAAGTGGAGCGACTTTCATTGCATGAGTCATACATACACATATGTACGAGAGAAATAAAAACAAAACTAACAAACACAAGCACACAAACAAACACGTACTTCAAGAGAGGACACAGATGGATTGAGAGCGAGAGAGCGAGAGAGAACAGCTTGATCAGCGTTTAAACCATGTGCGAAAGAGCTGGCTGGTCTTTGGTTGGTTTTATTCCCACATTTGCAGATTTCGTTCTTTTTTGGGCAATTGAGGCCACAGCTAGCAGCAAAAGAGAGCGAACCTTGAAGAAGTCACAGCAGAGGGGAGGGAAGGGTAAAGTGGGGCGGGAGGAAAACACCTCCTGGGGGCGTGAATGAGTACAATTTTACTTCCTGATTTTTCCTTCCACATATCTCGCCATTTCATTTTTATTTATGTACAAATAAAGTTTATAATAAAGAAAAACTCAATGGCCATGACGCGCTGTGACGCTGGTGGCGGCGTCAGCAGCGCTGCTTTTGTTGCTTAAGCTGCGTCAACGACGAGACAGTCAGCAGACCCGCACACACACACACAAACACACAGCCGCAAAACGAGCGCAGGTATACACACAGCGTTATTCACATAATACACAGCACAGGCCTAGGCAGGAACGGAACTCACTTTTAACAATAAAGTAGCCATTTTATATGTAAATTATGTTTAACTATAATTTATAACTAATTATTTGGGCCCCTTTGCGGGCAAGCAGCGTTTCTCAACACTAACTAACGCACACAAACGACACTCTTGGCTCTGCCCCATTCGCTTTGTCGTAAGAAGCGAGAAAGAGGCGAAAGCAACCAGCTGTCGTCGACCAAAGCGAGAAGCGAGTGTCAGAACGGGATGGCTCTATCAATGGCGAGAAACTGTTCGCGTGTGTATTTGTGGGGGTATGACTATGATAACCGGCTGCAAGAACCACTCAAATCGAAATGTTAATACAATTTGGCTGCCTGACAAAAGTTAATTTCGACTGATATTGCACAAAAATCGGAATATCCCCAGCAAACGCAGCAACCTTTAGAGCCGGCAGCGAGCAAGCGCTCTCTTGCAAGGGGTGTACTCCGGGTGCTCTCTCTAATGAGCGAGAGCGAGGCAAATGCTACGTGCTAAAGTCGAACGGGGGGATATGTACATAGACCATCAGGGGAAAATGAGCAGCAGGCGCATTGCATGCTCCATGTTCCACACTCCACTCCGCGCTGCAGTTGCTGCTTAATTTGTATTATTCCAATGCGAAAACATTGCTTTGCTGGACAAGGACGGAGCCCACTAGTTTAAAAATAATTATCGAAATTGACTCGCCACACACATACTTTGTATGTACTACCACGACGACCACTGCAATCACCTATGCATACTACATTGACATTGTATATAGAAGTCTGTACATTTGTGTGCGTGTGTAGATATACATATATATATATATATATTTGTATATATGTATATATATGCATGGGCAACACTATTTCTGAATTATCAGCGCAAAAGTAGGGTTAGGTTAATTTTATACGCTTCTTTTTGCTGTTTTATTTTTTGCTGGATCTTTCTGCGGCGCTGGCACACACACATCCGTACAGAGTGGAGAGCGCGCGAGTGTACGTGTGTGTGTGTGTGTGTATTTGTGCGCGTAGAGTGTGCCCTGCTATGTATATAGCGTGTATTGGGTAACATCGTGGAGCTATAGGGTATGCTTCAGTTACATTAATGCGTCCAGGTGCCCGGCTCACACGCACGCACACGCAAACACTGCATTTGCATTTGCATTGCACTTTAGCATACACACGCTCGAATGCATGTGTAACGGAAACGATGACTGCACTACTCCCGCACACGTTGCCACTACACTCTCACAGCAGGATCAATCCCGCCCGCATCCGCCACCCGTCTCCAGAGGACAAACCGATCCGATCCTAGGCCATTTCTTTTCCCAATCGGAACACAACTAAAAACTAAACTTGTTTTTTATTTGCTGGCGCAGTAATTAATGCACACCGTCATCGCCCATTTTTCCCTTTACGTTCGCCTTTTTGCACGTTTTCGTTTCGTATCGTTTTCTCTTCCTCTTCGTGTGTGTGCCTTCTTTCTACGTTTCACATTTCTTGCATAAAATTTCTGTTCACATATATATTTGCTATTCTGTCAACTTTTCATGCTGCTAAATGCTTTCTGTAGAATTTTTGTTTTTTTTTTTCACATACCTTATTGATTCTTTTTAACGCCATTTTCTGATTGAAATTTGATTTTCTGGTTTGGTTGTGTGAGTGTGAGTGTTTGGTTGGTCTGTGTGGCTCTGGCTCGTTCGCGGATTCTTTTGTTCTTCTTTTATCGAGTCGAAAACGGAACCGAACTTGTGTCTAAAATCGCTGGAAAATAAACGAAACACAAAGGCTGAGCTGCGCTCCACTTGAATTTGCTCTGCTTTGCTTATAATTTGTGTCCCTTGTCTCGAAATATTGCAGCTCTGGCACTGGCTCTGGCGCGTGTAAACGGCGACCCGACGAAGACTACGGCGACGATTATTTTTTTTTTGACTCGATTTCAATCAATGCTGGCCAGGCGGACCGAACGAACAGAGCAAAAGAGCGACCGACACGATGCGAACAGCAGTCTGAAAGGCTTGCGCGTGACAGAGACAGTTGTACGTGTAGTGTTGTAGTCGTGTGGTGAAACGCCTTATGAATTATATCTGCAAGAGAAGAGAGGCGATACAGTTAGCTGGCAACGCCACCACCAGATAATTATGAATGTTCCAAAAAATATTTACTTTTTGCCCCGAATAACAAACAAATAATTCCTTTCTAGTTGAATTGCAATTGCACACACGCACGTGGCAAGCTTTCCGGCAGCGACTAGAGTTTTCCGTTGTTTTGGCGCTTCTATGGGAGTTGGAATCCTATTTTCGGTATTGCTAGCGCACAAAATGTTCGAATTGTAAAAGTAGGGGTGGCACACCGCTTGTCGACGGCTGCCGGAATGTAGTAACTGAAAAATTTGGAACAATTGATGTAGAGAAGCTATGTTTTTATATGCTTACTGCGTTTATTAATTTTTGTGGATTTTTACTCACATAGAAGGGCGACCTTTGAAATATAATTCAATAATAAATGATAATGCTTCGTCTTACAGCACTGTCTGAATTTTTTGTGTGATCGATGTATCGATTGGTCTCGCCTTTGCTGGTATTTTTGTCGGTATTTCGCTAGGCTGATCAACTTTGGTCACACTGTGACGGTCTGCAAAATATTTTAAACAAAAAGTGCTTTTTAATCAAGTAATTCGACGGTAACTAACGCATATATAAGGACCCAACCCGGTTAACTAACGTTGGGCCACCACAAAGAGTCTATGTACCGCATGCCAGGCCTATTTTTGCACTGCCTTCGTTCTGTCGTTCGCACACTATCTCCCTCTCACACACACTCTCCTACCATCTCTGTCGCTCTGCTTTCGGCTTCGTTTGCGAGAGACGACCTTTTTCGTGCATTTCCACACATAAATATATATATTCTATTCTCCATTCCACTCTTCTTTTTGTGCAAAAAAATGTGCGTGCTGCTGCTGCTGGCCCCCGTGTCTGGTGGATCTTTGTGCGATATTTCGTGTAGATAATTAAAGTGCATTCGCTTTGTGTGCGTTCGTGTGTGTGTTTGTGCAACATGCGGCAGCTTGAGGATGATGCCGCCGCTGCCGCCCTAAGACAACCAACAACAACAAAGTACAACAACAAGAAAGGACGCCTGCAGCTGTACGCCCACGCCCACGTCCACGTCCAAAAGAGTGCAAGTACCGTTTTATAGTACGCGTAGTCATGCCAACAGCAACAACAACAACAACAACAACTAAAACAACAGCAGAACAGCATAGCGATACGTCAATGGCGTCCAAGGCGACAAAGACGGAAGAATCTACCGCTACAACAACAACGACAATACCCATAAGAGGAGCAGAAGAATCAACTGTAGCAGCAGAAGCAGAAAAAGACCCCAAATTGCCCCCGCCAACGTCAACGCCAACGCTGCTGCCTCTGCTGGCCTCGGCCGCTGCCTGCAACAAACAGCTGCTGTTCTGCCGCCGCTTTAAGGACAAACCGGAGTCTAACAGTGTGGGATTTTTACGTAATTTCAATTCCCTGCCCCTCTTCGTCTACGCAACGTCACCGTCGACACACGCCAGCTCGGCGGACGGTGTGGGTGTGGCCCGGGAGGCGGCTGCCTTCATTCAAAAGGTAAGTGTCCTATCTGTCTCCCACGGCGAGAGAGAGAGAGAGAGAGAGAACACCAGCTCTCTGGCTCTCTTTGCGTTCTCCGTTTTACGTAATTGATCGCTTCCGTTGCAGGTATTTTTTTTTTGGATGGCTGTTGGGGTTCGTGCCATTTATGCATTTATAATTCTACATTAATCTATAGTTCTGCTTGGCTTCGCTCTCTCCCTCTCTCTCTGTCTCTGTTTCTGGCTGTTTGCAGAATCAGATGCGTTTTTAATGTTAATCATAGTATATACAACAAAAGCAACAAGGGAATGGCTTACGTTGTTTTGGTGATCGCTCAAACGTGTCAGACATTAATGAACCAACCGCCAAAGCCCAGCCTAACTGTGCTTTGTCTCGTACGCAGAGAGAGAGAGAGACAGGCAGAACCACAAGAGAGGGTAGGAGTGGGAGGGAGGGGCCATATGCTTTGGTGGTTACAGGTGCAGCCATTGACTGGGCAAAAGCGCTCTCCTTTTGTTGTGATTGCGGTTCCTTCTCTCCATACTACTCCTCTCTCTCTCTCTCTGTCTGTGTCCCCCCTCCCCTCTACTGCAACGCTTCACTTGTGCCTGTGGTTGTTGTTTTTGTTGCTTTTGTTGCAGCCCAGTGAGTCGCGACTTGTGCGCTGCTCATAAGCTTCATTAGCAGACAACAAAAGCCCCCCCCCCCCCCCCCCCCCAAAAGCTCAAACAAAAAATTTGCGGTATTTTAGTGGGTTTTGGTTTTCTTTTCGGCAATTTGGTTTTTTCTGGTAGTCGCTGGAAAAGAGGGAGAGAGATTTGTTTTGCTAAAAGTAGTGCCATTTTGATAATGATTTATTTATGGTGGGGATATCTTTTTGGGGGACTATATGGATAGGAATAGATGGGTACGATTTTTATATAATTTTCTAGAAATTTCAGTGTTATATATTTCTACGGCGAAATTTTAGACCATTTTTCGTTTAAAAAATTGTACAAAATTATGCAAGAAAGTCACGCTTAGAAAAATTAGCCAATCTTATAGAAAATTGTTTCATTTATCGAAAAAAATAATTTTCTTATGAAAATTGCTATTGAAAAGCTCTTAAAACAGCAGATATTGCTGTCACCGTATATATCATTCGGAATATTAACGAAAATGTAGACCAAAAGTGCGTCTCCTTGTTAAAGTAATTTTTTTTAAGGATCCTTAGATTTCATTTTCTGTTCCATTTTATATAGAGAAATATGCGACGAGAATAATGGAATTTAATTATAATAAATATATGGCATATTTTCCGTATAAAAATAAAATTTGTTTCCCCCCCTCCGAAACACCTTTTTTCCCCTTATATAATTCATAATTCGTATAATTTTATTAATTCAATTAAAACCAGAATAAATCTGCTTTTTAAGCTACTTTTTATTTGATTTTTATTATCGTGGCTTTCTTTTCATATTTTTAACGATCAGATCGTTTGACACTTTCTACCACGCTTTCTAGCGTGGGGGCTCTCAAACGAAAGAGTTGCCCCTTAGTGGGTGTGGCTGGATCCACTGGATGCATGCAGCATGCAGCAAACATTCCCCATTCGATGTGTGATATGGAATGTTCGTGGGCGGCATTTCCTATGGCCGTACAGTGCGTGTGGAAAACATAAGGCAGTTCTGGCAGAAGCGTATTTTAGGGAAGGGGAAAAAAAATTATATTCGAAGTATTATCAAGAATTTTATTCTATTTTAAGCAAGCAATAGATTTTTTTTCTTTAAGGTTTTTGAGATTCTATGTATCTGTATTTTTGGTATTCATTGATGCCTCTTTTTGGTAGAGGATCCAACACGATAAGTGACTTTTTCCCGGTCTATAAAGAATTATTCATCAATATCCCTAATGGAAAACCGATAGTACGATTTTCTTCAAAAAATATGAAATATTTATTTGATGGAAAATCGATAAAAATCTATAGAGATCGTATACAAATTCCCCGTGACACCCGAAAGTTGTTATATATTTTTATTATTATTATATATTTATTATATTTTTTTTTAATGTATTTTATTTAATAAATTTGTTCTGCTTTCCAAAGTTTAAATTATTATTATATGTACATATGTATACTATATTTTGTTACTATAGTATATAGTAACTATACTGTTCTTACACTGCCGATACGCACTGTACTGCATGTATCCGTGGCCCTGAACTGGCACTGGATTGCCTTTGCCTTTGTCTTTGTTGTTGTTACACAATTGCGCTGCCCCCGCCCCCTGCCACACATGTCATAGAAGGGATGGTGAGAGGGGGGGTCGGGGGTGTTGTTTACATTTTCAAAATTTAAATCAATTTTGTTTCTGATTGCGGTTTAAGTGGCAGGTTCCACGGAGCGAAGCGCTTCTCCGAGAGTCCCACCGGACCCCAAGCCCCAGGCCCCAAACCCCAGGCCCCAGCTCTCGTCTTTCCTTATGTTTATTGCTGCCATATGTATCTGTATCTATGGCTGGGTATCTGTGTGCGGCGTTCTCTCGTGTCGTCAAACAATGCGCATATGGATACTGTATCTGTATCTGAATAAATGTATCTTTTATTACCCATATACATATATATTTTGTGGAGACAGTTGTTTTGGGTGCAGCGCAAACAATTGTGTGCCAACGATCTTCCCATCTTCGGGTCCCCCCGCCCTTTCTCTGGAAATACTTTTGATTGCGTAGCTGTTCGGGGAGGGGGTGGGGGGGGGGGGTGGGAACCTCCTCAGATGTTTACATTTCACTTTACAATCCCATCCTTTGCCCTCTTTCAATTACCACAAATTCGAGTATACATGAGTTTATTATTTATTGGGGCTAAATCAATTTCGATTTGTGGGCCTTCTGCGATTTAATATTATAGACATTAATTATTTCGCATTTGATAAATAAAATATTTTTTTGATCAATTACCATGTCTCATTTATTTATTTTCTACTTCAGAAATAAAGATTTAATTGGAATTTTCTACTTAATCCCCTTTGCATTCAACAATCATTAATTGTAATATTTATCGGTTCTATTTGATGATTTTTTGTGTACCCGGGGGGTTTATGAGATCAGTGTAGAGGTACAGTCATGGGGAAAGATATTGAGGCTATGTTTAAGCAAAAGGTCTTTAAAGATAGTCGAAAACTCAAGGGTAAACCCAAGAGGTCTCGACTACAAGACTACATTTGTGCACCAGATGGAAGGCCAATCCCTTCGGTGGTGCTTCCTATGCCTAGGATTTTGAGCCATTCTGACATCCGCAAGTGCGTGAAAAGAACGGAAAGAAGAAGCTTAAATATCTGGGATAGTAAGGGGAGTCCAACGCCAGTACCTAGCAATACCCAGCGTTAGATTTTCGCACCGTAAAATGGCCATAACGTTGAACATTCATAAAGAATGGTCATATATACTTGATTGCAGAATCACATGGCAATCGGATCATTATTATGGCGAGAATTAATCAAAACAATTGGCAGAAAATCTGTTTTTTTTTGGCTGTTTGAACACCTGGCTTTCGAATGGAAGAGCAGATAAATTTTCGATATATAGAAAGGGAGTACTGGGTGTCGCGATACTTGTGCCGCGACTCCTGGTTTTTCTGCTCTCTATATCGAAATTATATATATTTAATTAATAACTGCTTAATCCCTGATTTTTCCCACAAATTGTTGTGTTATCGAAGAGGTTAAAGGCTGAATTTTGTGATTAGATAAAGTAGAACAAATA